AAGGAGATCAGAAATAAAATAATTGTTTTCTCTAACATTTTTGTGAAATTTTCATACACAAACTAGACTAAAAAATAAACTAAGATTCCACCATTCGAAATGAAAGAACGTATTTTTTTCTATGTCGCATATCTTTGAGAAATGCAAAAATAATGAGGTCATGAGTAACTAGTTAAGCAGGTCCGAGTTTAAAAGTTAAAGGCCAGATTGCCTACACAGTTGTGTGTTAGGTAAAGAAAACTGTCCTCTATCTCAAACTGCCACCTCATTTTTTTAAAAAAAATAATAATTAGTTTCTTTACAAAGTATTTTGAAAGAGAAAATATTTTCTACTACAATTACTAAACATTTTCACTGGACATAAAGTGATCTTTACCGCCAATGTAATTTTTTTTCCTGTTTGAAAAATAATCAAAAAGACATCCTCAAAGAAATAAATGGTGGTGGAAAGTGGCATAAGTAACACTCCCAATATGTTGTTCAATTATATACTTTCCAACAAAATTCAAGCTGAGATAGATACAAACACCAAAGGAGCAGACTTAACAGGCAAAAGAGAAAGGCTCTAATATAATTCCTGACAGAGGAGCTCAGCTCTGCAAACTGGCAATCCCGTCAATCCTCTTTTCAATTAAAAGTATGAAGGGAGGGGAACAAGGCATACTCACTGGGGCCTGTGGGCAGTGGGGAGATAGAGTATCAGGACAAATACCTAATGCAGGCAGAGCTTAAAACCCAGATGATGTGGTGATAGGTGCAGCAAACCACCATGGCACACATATACCTATGTAAGAAACCTGCATGTTCTGCACATGTATCCCAGAACTTAAAGTAAAATAAAAAATTATTTAAAAAAGTATGCTCCCCACTTTCTTCCCACACCTAGGGAGAAGCCCTCTGGCAATTGTGAGGAAAGAATTATAGGGCTTAATGTTATCAGGTAATCATGTAACCTTGATATGGTCTCACTAATAGAGGCTGCCCCCAGTCAAACTAGATGACTGATATTCTTCAAATTAATTCCATGCTTTCGTACTTCTTTGTATTATTCTCTCTACTTGGAATATTTTCCCTTGCCTATAACTCACACATTTCTGACTTCTAAATATTGTTAATTTTTCAATCTTTAAAGGTCACTTTTCACATGAAGAATTACCTAATAATGATAGAACTTTGTCCTTTTAAATCTCTTCGAAGACACTGACAATACAATTTACAAGGATTTTATAGAGTATTTATTGTGTTATGCACCTACACAAATCACAGAACAGGATTTGACGACCAAACACCTCTAAAAAAGCCCAAGCTAAACACTGTGTTTGAGGCAAGAGAAGGGAACTAAATGGTAAGCAAGTGCTTTTGTACTTGATTCATTATATCTTATAAAACCTTTAACATTTTTAAAGCTTGGAATAAATTAATATTATGTAATTAGTATTAAGAGTTGAAATATACTTTGTACCAAAAATTAGCAAAATTTATATACAAGAATTAGTAAAAAATAGTCACACTCATGATTTAATAAGATAGAATCTACATTGTTAGAACTTCAGAAGAGACATCTAAAATTACTACTAAAATCCCGTAACAGTGAACCTGGAAAAAAAATGAAAACTGCTCATTCATGCTTAAAATATATTTAAATATATGTAAATGTATGATAACCCATTGAAAGGATTTTAAAAACTTTGCAAACAACAGAAATCTATTTAGCAGCAATGTAATTTAACACAACAAAGCAATGACCAAAATAACAGTATAATCATTTTTATTAAAACCCTAAATCATATAGAAAAACAATCTTTAAAAAAAGCTGTTGTCATTATCTTAGGGAAGATTAGAATCTCTAAGGCCAGTTGCAACAGAAAACAGGAAGAATCAAACACTGTGCCTTCACATCCGACTTTATAAAATGAATTTAGTGCTTATTTGTATTAGTTAATGTGCCAGGCACCCATGGTACAAAAATAAATATGATATGAGCTTCATCTTAGAGGGCACAATAGTTGAGAACATGTGATAACAACACAGAAGTAAATGTTTTCCTAAAGTAAAAGACATACAATCAGATAGGCGTGTGTGCAGGGCTTCAGAACCCCCTTTAACTAGGATTCTGAGTAAAGTACCCATACATTTCAGATAGAGGAGCAGTGGAAGCATTATTAAAGTATTATATTTTGTACATTATTAGGCATTCAAGGCTGAGAGAACAACGTGAAAAAGAACAGAAATGTGCTACATGGTAGTATGAGGCACCATAATCAGTTTGGTATGATTATAGCATCACCTAAAGATAGAACCAAATACATAAATTGTGGGGCACAGTACAAAATTAAAATATTCAAAAATGCTTAGGAATTTCAACATCATTTCTGAACATTAAAGTAAGTGTTGCACCTTCTGAGCATCAGGGCCTCAGTTCACATGCCAAAGGTCCATATGCCATATTATGGTTAAAAATTGAGCTCAAGAGTGAAGCCGACTGAAATCCACATCCCAGCTCTGCTCTTTATATTGTAATTTTAAAAACACAGAAATGCTGTCTACAAAATGGCAGTGGGAAGCCCCACATGTAATTCCTGTTATATAAGAAGTCCAAAAGAATAAAAACCCCAGGTAGAGATCCTTGAAGTAAGCCTGCATCTCGGGCAGAGAAACTTAAAGTGAAGTTATATCCTAAGAGGAGAGAGTCAGGCCTTAGTTGCAGATAAAGGAACAAAGGAGGATTCATCCCATAAAATAACCAGAAGGTAAGGGAACCAGAAGATACAGTCAAAAGATCTGGGAGGAACATCATTTGAGAGGAAAAATAAGGGAAGGAGACAGAGAGAACGAGAGAGAAAATATACATGAAGAAAGAAATGTACAATAGATCAATAGAAATTAGTAATAACATCAAATTGTGGAATATGCTTCTCTACTTTTACATTTGCTTTGATGATATGATGATGTCTATTTGAAATATTCTGAAATGATCACTTTATATCTCTATTTTTTTCTGTTTTACTGTAGGTTTAAGTTATGGGCAAACTCAAATTCAGTCTTATATAAGATTATTTATTAAACTAGATTTCCATAACATGGCTGATTTTGCTACTGTAATTAAACCCAATTATTAAGAATAATTAGAATTTAATAAGAATAGTGATTTATAAAAATAATACCACATAAAAGCAAAGACTAATTTCTATAAATTAATCTATTTACTAATCAGAAAGAATACTGACACAAAAAAAATCAACTAAATTTTGTCCTATTGGTTATTTAATGTAGACATACAATTTTGCCTTTAAACATATTACATTCCCCTTTGAATCTATATATAGAGAAAAAGGAGCAGGAGAGAAAAAGAAATGAAGCGTTTAAGTGGAAGAAGGGAATAAGTAAACATGGTATATGATGGGAAAACATAATTTTAAAGCACAGATACAGTAACAGCTAATCAGTGTTTGCTGATCATCTGTCTTGTAACAAACTTGGTCATAATAGGAAAGCAAAACATCATTACCCTATATCATCCTTCAAAGCATGCTGGTAGCCATGTTTGTCTTTACTTTTATTTGTTTGTCTCTGCCAATATAAATGAAATAGCTAGGATGAGTTCTTTTAAAGCCCACTGACCAAGGGTAACCAGAAATATGTCCATAGTGAAAAAGGAAGCAGGGAAGGGAGAGAGAGAGGAAGGAAGGACAGAGAGAGAGAGAGAAAGAAAGAAAGAAAGAAAGAGAGACAGAGAGGGAGGGAGAGGTTAGAGAGAGAGAGAGGAAAGTGGAAACCAGCTCTGAATTGAACACTCAAGAAACAGGAGCAGCTTAGTAATTGTTACTCAGCAGGAAGAATGAGTGATGTGCTGGGAATACCCTTGGTGAAGAAAACAATCACTCAGAAAAAAGGATTTATTTGTCATTTTGTCTTATCCTCTTAAAGACGTGGTTTTCTTATGGCCCCGGCACTGTCCAAAAAATACCCCCAGAAAACAAAACAGAAAAATCACTTGTTTATATTTTATTAGAAATGTTATAGTCTGACAGCCAGAAGAGCGGATTTTTACTTAACTGTACCATTAGAAAAAAAAGTAATTTGAGGCACAGAAAGAATACAGACTTTAAAATAGTTATTTAAATAATCACTTAATTCATTATAAGTTTATTTAGCACCAAAATCTGGTTTCTTGACTCTCAAGAAAGTAATATAATACTAACAAGAAACTAATGTTAACATGAAAATAATTATAAATATTTAGTTGATTTTTGTGTCGGTGTATTTTCTGATTAGTAAACAGATTAATTTACAGGAAATATCCTTTGCTTTTATTTGTGGAAAAATATTTATAAGTCACCATTCTTATTAAATTTTAATTAAATATATTCTTAGTAATTGGCTTTATGTATATATGAAGAAAAGCAAGTTTGTTCTGCAACAAAATCACCAATTTTCAGTTTTCCCCTCCTTAAAGATACCTACAGAAATTATTATATTAAATAATTACCCAGAGCATGAGAGAACTCTTCTGCTTCATTGCATGGCAAAGCTACTCAGCTAAGTGTTTCAGCGTCTGGCCTCCTACATTAACACAGCTCAGGGAAATGGCCCAAAGTGTAAATAGAAGCTCCAGCTCATTGGAAGGGTGCTCAACCTGAAACTCAAAGGACTTCTTGGTAATGTACTTATTTGTCATTGTTAACAAAGAAGTTTCTTCTCATTTGTAAAGTCATATATAGAAGCAGAGAATATCGTATATGTACACAATCCTCACCCTGAAATGAAGGTCAGAATGGTGCGTTAGCCACAGTCTCTCGTTGCAATTTAGAGATGAGATATTACCTTATGTGAATTTTCAGGATATGGAAGGTTAAATGAAATTTGTTTGGGGTCATTTTTTTTTAAACAGTAAAATACTCCATTCCTCATTTGGATGTCATATGCCTGGCAGCCAGTTTTACTCTATTTTTTTTCTTTAGTTTATTTCATATTAGTCCGAAGTGGCTTTATGCAAATACAAGAAAATGTGACTATATATTCTTATTTGCTCCCCACACAAGCTAGCATATAATATGTACTCTTTGAGCCCTTCCTTTTTTAATTTTACTTTATTTCATTTTTAAATTTATTTTTTATTTCAATAGGTTTTTGCAGAGCAGGTGGTGTTTGGTTACATGAATAAGTTCTTTAGTGGTGATTTCTGAGATTTTGGTGCCACTTGAGCAGTGTACACTGTATCCAATGTGTTGTCTTTTATCTCTCACTGGCCTCACACCCTTTCCCTTGAGTCCCTAAAGTCCATTGCATTATTCATATGCATTTGTATCCTCCTAGCTTAGCTCCCATTTATAAGTGAGAAATGCAATGCTTGGTTTTCCGTTCTTGAGTTACTTCACTTCCATCCAGGTTTCTGTGGATGGCATTATTTTGTTCCTTTTTATGGCTGAGTAATATTCCATGGTATATATCTGTACCACATTTTCTTTATCCACTTACTGATTTATGGGAATTTGGGCTGGTTCCATATTTTTGCAATTGCAAATTTTGCTGCTATAAACATGAATGTACAAGTATCTTTTTTGTACAATGACTTATTTTTCTCTGACTAGTTACTCAGTAGTGGGATGACTGGATCAAACAGTAGGTCTACTTTTGGTTCTTTAAGGAATCTCCACATTCTTTTCCACAGTTTTACTAGTTTACATTCCTGCTAACAGTGTAAAAGTGTTCCCTTTTCACCACATCCATGCCAACATCTATTATTTTTTGATTTTTGATTATGAACATTTTTCCAGGAGTAACTTGGTATCACATTGTGGTTTTGCATTTTTCTGATAATTAGTGATGCTGAGCATTTTTTAATATGTTTGTTGGCCATTTGTATATCTTGAGAATTGTCTATTCATGTCATTAGCCCACTTTTTCATGGAATTGTTTGTTGTTTTCTTGGCTAATTTGAGTTCCTTGTAGATTCTGGATATTAGTCCTTTATCAGATGTATAGATTGCAGAGATTTTCTCCCACTCCGTGGGTTGTCTTTTTACTCTGCTGATTGTTTCCTTTGCAGTGCAGAAGCATTTTAGTTTAATTAAGTCCCATACATTTATCTTTCTTTTTGTTGCATTTGCGTTTGAGTTTCTGGTCATGAATTCTTTCCCTAAGCCAGTGTCTAGAAGGGTTTTTCCAACATTATCTTCTAAAATTTTATGGTTTTAGGTTTTAAATTTAAGTCCTTGAGCTATCTGGAATTGATTTTTGTATGAGGTGAGAGATGAGGATCCAGTGTCATATTTTCATATTTCTACATGTGGTTAGCCAGTTATCCCAGCTCCATTTGATGAATAGGGTGTCTTTTCCCCACTTTAAGTTTTTGTTTGCTTTGTCAAAGATCAGTAGGCTGTAAGTACGTAGCTCTATTTCCGGGTTATTTATTCTGTTTCATTAGTCTATGTGCATATTTTAATACCAGTACCATGCTGTTTTTGTGACTATGGCCATATAGTATAGCTTGAAGTCAGGTAAGGTAATGCCTCCAGATTTTGTTGTTGTTGTTGTTTAGTCTCACTTTGGCTATGCAGGCTCTTTTTTGGTTCCATATGAATTTTAGGATTGTGTTTTCTAGTTCTGTGAAGAATATACATGGTATTTTGATGCAAATTGCATTGAATTCATAGCTTACTTTTGGCAATTTGATAATTTATACTATTTTGATTCTACCCATCCATGAGCATGGATGTGTTTTCATTTGTTTGTGTCGTCTATGATTTCTTTCAGCAGTGTTTTGTAGTTTTCCTTGTAGATGTCTTTTACCTCCTTGGTTAGGTATATTCCTAAGTATTTATTTGTTGTTTTGCAGCTATTGTAAAAAAGGTTTAATTTCTTAATTTGATTTTCAGCTTGGTCACTGTTGATGTATAGCAGAGCTATTGATTTGTGGACACTAATCCTGTATCCTGAAATTTTGCTGAAATCACTTACAGTTCTAGGAGCTTTTTGGATGCATCTTTAGGGTTTTCTAGGTACACAATCACATCATCAGCAAACAATGACAATTTGACTTCTTCATTATTTATTTGGATGTCCTTTATTTCTTTCTCTTCTCTAATTGCTCTGACTAGATTTCAGTACTGTGCCAAATAGAAATGATGAAAGTGGGCATTCTTGCTTGGTTCCAGTTCTCGGCGAGGGATACTTTGAACATTTCCCCGTTCGGTATAATGTTGGGTGTGGGTTTGTCATAGCTGGCTTTTATTACATTAAGTTATGTCCCTTCTATGCCAATTTTGCTGAGGGTTTTAATCATAAAGTGAAGCTGGATTTTTCTTGTGTCTAATGAGATGATCATATGATTTTTGTTTTAAATTCTGTTTTAGTTGTGTATCACATTTATTGATTTCCATATGTTAAAGCATACCTGCATCTCTGGTATGAAACCCACTTGATCATGGTGGATTATCTTGATATGCAGTTAAATTCGGGTAGCTAGTATTTTGTTGAGGATTTTTGTATCTATGTTCATCAGTAATATTGGTCTGTAGTTTTCTTTTTGTGTTATGTCCTTTCCTGGTTTTGATATTAGGGTGATTCTGGCTTCATAGAATTATTTAGCTAGGATTCCCTCTTTTCTTTCTTGTGGAATAGTGTCAATAGGATTGATACCAATTCTTCTTTGAATGTCTAATAAAATTCAGCTGTGAATCTATCTGGTCCTGGAATTTTTTGTTGATAATGTTTTTATTACAATTTCATTCTTGCTGCTTGTTGTTAGTCTGATCAGAGTTTGTATTTCTTCCTGATTTAATCTAGGAGGGTTGTATATATCCAGGAATTTATCCATCTCCTCTACGTTTTCTAGTTTACACATGTAAAGGTGTTCATAGTAGCCTTGAATGATCTTTTGCATTTCTGTGGTATCCCTTGTAATATCTCCCATTTCATTTCCAATTGAGCTTATTTTGATATTCTCACTTCTTTTCTTGGTTAACCTCACTAATGGTCTATCAATTTTATTTCATCTTTTTACAGAACCAGCTTTTTGTTTCACATATCTTTTGTGTTGTTTTTTTGTTTGTTTTCAATTTTATTTAGTTCTGCTCTGATTTTTGTACTTCTTTTCTTCTGCTGGGTTAGGGTTTAGTTTGTTCTTGTTTCCCCAGTTCCTTGGAGGTGTGCTTACATTGTCTATTTGTGCTCTTTTGGACTTTTTGATGTAGGCATTTAAAGCAATAAACTTCTCTTAGTGCCACCTTTGCTGTATCTCAGTGGTTTTTATAGGTTATGCCACTATTAGTTTTCAGTTTGAAGAACTTTTTGATTTCCATCTTGATTTTATTGTTGACTCAATGATCATTCAGGAGCAGGTTATTTTCTTTTCATGTACTTGCATGGATTTGAGGGTTCCTTTTGGAGTTGATTTCCAATTTAATTGCACTATTGTTTGAGAGATTACTTGACATAATTTTAACTTTCTCAAATTTAATGTGATGTTCATCAGTGTATAATCTCAAATCCTGCTTGACTGTGTTACATGATACATTAATTGGCACATAATCCCAAACTTGGCTTATGTACAAGTCTCATATCTTGCCCTAGTGCATTTATATGTTTTTAACAATGTTTCCTTCTTGGTATGCTTATCTCATGTTGTTTCTTGATATTCACCCTGTTTTTTACCTATAATATTTTCACCAGTTTTTTTTCCCTAAAAGATTGTTCAATTTTCTCAATCCTGTTGCCAGAGACATTTGCAAACACTAAGCTTTAGTTTGTTATTAAATGCAAGGAAAATGTTGGATTGTAATAACAAAATATCAGTTCTACTGTTTATCTTGGGTTATTAATTTTCCACTCCTGTCTCCTAAATGTCACAATGTGCTGAATATAGTAATTGTCATTGTGTAAGTTAAAAATGCTAGCTATTATAATCATCACTGTTAATGAACAGATATCTGAGTAATGGAACATAATGAATTGTGGTGGTTTTGGGGACTAGAAACTCTCATTAAATGTCCCTGTGAACTTAACCTTTAGTATTAGGAAAGTTAATAAATTTGCCACTTACGGAGGCATTTTATAATCCCAAGTTAGTGCCAAAATGTCTCGCTTAATTTTCAAACCTCCTCCTTTACCTTCTTGCCAAAAGCCTTTATTTCATATGATCGCTCCCGCTGAAATATCTGCCCCCCATTTTGACCGTCTAAAGCCGTATTATCTATCCAAATTAAATTTCAAAAGTCTATGCTTATTTGCTCAGTGTCAAATATCAAGTGTCATCTTTGAATGTTTCTCATTTTACTCCCTCCATGTCCAATCCATCAGCAAGTTCTGTAGATTTTTGAAAAACTCCAAAATATTTCTCAATGTACCTCAAACCTATACACTCCTTTACATTTCCATTACAAGGGTCCAATCTGTGATCATCTTTCTCTTCTTCTGCATTAATATGATCCACTATTATCTGACACCCACTCTTAGTTCATGCCCCATATACCAACCTCTACCAGATATTAAAAAAATGAAACTAAATTTATCTTTCTCTAGCTTATCGTCCTTTCATTTTACATAGATTAGTATCTCAACTTAGAATAGCTACTATGGTCTTAGAAAAATAGCTCAGTGTGCCATCTTTCTGCCTTCATCTATATTTCTTTCTATTGCCACATTGAACTACGCTCCAGTCTCTTTATATTCTGAAATGAGAAGAATTTTCTTCATAAGGATATTTGAACTTCTCTTTGCCTAAAGTGCTCTTCCCCTGGGTATGCACATCATTAAGTCTTGGCTTCAGTTCACCTCCAGAGAGGCCTTCTTTAACTACCGTTTTTAAAGCATGCTGCTCACTCTCTGCTGTCTCATAGTCACTTTATTTCAGATCATCTTGTTCTACCATCTCCATGATTTGTCATCACTTGAAAATTTTTTAAATAAAATATGTTTATGGACAGCATTATATAGCTCCGTGGGTTAACATTGTGCCCTCAATAATTAATAATTGCAGTCTGGAAATTTTTTTTCTGAAATTAAATTTGTGTATTTGTGAAATGACTTTAGTAATAGCCCTTAGAATTATTAAAATTAAATTACTACTATATCAAGTATCTGGGAAGTTGACATCCAAATGATACATGTATGTATAAATTAGTTATTTTATAATGTCTAATACATTTTCTGGGACATAGACATAAATAAAAATTACTTGTTAATAATAAAGCAAAAACTTTTTTGAACACCTATTGTGTTCTAGGAATTATACTAGGTATTTCTCTTGAATTACCTTCCATTTTCCTAAGAGCTCTAAAATAGAAATATTATCTTTATTTTATAAAGAAACTGAAAATGTAAGATAATAAACAATTTTCCCAAATGAGTTGACTGTTATGTAGAAGATTAAATATTTGAAACCATGTTTGTCTTTGAACTAGATAATTATTTAATTCATTTATGTATCATTTATCTAGAACTGTGAGCGTTTTTTTTAGATTGGGATCAGTATTAAGAAAAGTAAAATGTAAATTCTAAAAGGAAAAGTTAAAAAAAATCATTTCAAGTTAAAAATTTATCATTTTTTAAATGTTAAAAAATTTTAATCATTAACATTTTATTAAATTTAATTTTAATTAGAATTTTGTTTCTTATGTTTCTTTAGGTTAGGTATAAATAGTACTGGCATAGCATATGGATATGGTGGGTCACGCCTGTAATCCCAGCACTTTTGTGAGGCTGAGGCCGTTGAATCATGAGGTCAGGAGATTGAGACCACCCTGGCTGACTAGGTGAAATTCCAACTCCACCAAAAAAATAAATACAAACATTAGCTGGGACAAACATTAGCTGGGTATGGTGGTGGGTGCCTATAATCCCAGCTACTCAGGAGGCTGAGGCAGGAGAATCACCTGAACCTGGGAGGCAGAGGTTGCAGTGAGCTGGAATCACGCCACCGCATTCCAGCCTAGGCGAGAGAGTGAAACTCCATCTCAAAAAAAAAAAAAAATGTAGCTTCAATAGATTTATTCTTTATCTTAGATTATACTATTTCTGTTATGTAAACATTTTAATTACAAATTATAGAAAATGATGGTAAAGTTAATTCACCAGTTTTCAGCATAACTCATCATTTCAGAAAATGTTTGGAGATAATATTGCTTTATTAATTAGATAATGTTTTTCATGTTTGTATTCTTTAAACAAAAAGGATTAAAACCTTACACTACAGTTAAGTTCCTAGAATAGGACACTTTCTCTTCTGGACAATTACTCTCATTGTGTAACTTTTAAGAGAAAGGAATAACTATTGAATTTACCTCAAAATGAAATAGCTTTCAATATCTCAGTACTACAACTATGTAAATCTCAGTCTTTTTCTATGAAACACAAATTAATCTCACGGTGATGCCATGGAATTGATATATAATCTACCAAACTGACCCTCTGAGGGATGTATCATTCGATAAATAAATTTCTACTTTGCTGCATTTTGATCCATTTGTTGGGCCATAAATTCAATGAGCACTATGTTCAGGGACCAATTATGTTTATTTAGGATATTCCTCTTTGCATTCAATACCCTGTACTTTTCTACTTATCGAAATGACCTCTGCAGTTGGAACTATTGCATAATTCAGTGTATAACAAGATGGAAAAAGTCATAAATAATTACTATGGACTCTTTTTGTGTGACTTTCAGTTGTGTGACTTTTCTCTAGTTTTTACTTCCTGGATATTATTTGATTGTCAATAAATTTCTTTACAGAAAACCTTTCCTTTTTATTTTAATACTTTTTTTTCCAGTTAATCTAGTTTGCTGCAAAGGAAAAAGATGAGGTAGAAAGCTATTGAGCTTGCTATTCATTTCACATTTAATCACTGTTCAGAATATCTCTAAACTCACCAGCACTCCCTTTTTCTATGCTGTGAGCAGTTATAACCAGTAGAACTTAAGTCAGGGGGCCACATACTCCATTTTCCAAACCAACCCATTTTTAATCATAAAAGAGAACTACTAGTATTTACACTAGAATAGCAGGTGTGTTACAGGACTGTCCTCTGCAATCTGAGTTATATGTCAATGTAAGCATAAGGAATGGATATGAAATCTGTTATTAGATATGCCTGTAAATCCCACTTCTGCCCCTTATTGGCTCTGTGAATTTATGTATATTACTTAACCTCCTGAGACTTAGTTTTCTTATCTGAAAAACCAAAAAAGGAATCTGATTGATCTTATAATTTGTTATGATTATACATTAAAATTATATCAAGTACAAAGAAAAAGGGGGCTCAAAAGTGTTATTTTATTGCTACATTTCTATTCTCTGTATTTACAATAACATCTGATACATGGCTGGTGATCAATAAAGATTGCTGAACGAATAACCGACTGAGTGAATGAACAAGGTATTCAACTAATGAGTGCAATGACATATTAATTGAATACTAAATGAAATCATAGGCCCTACTACAGTAATCCTACACATGATAGATGGGTCAGTAAGCTGATAAACCATGTGTCTTTGTGAAATGTCATTCAGACACAAATAATGCAATAAAGGAAACAATCCAAAATTTAATAATATCAAGCAAAAAGAATCTAAATTCTAATCTGTATGTATTTAAATCTCTAGGATAATTGTAATCATTTTTATGTATTTGTATTAATCCTATTAAAACGATTATGAAATTTTCTACTTTCAATTAAGAAATACTCTTGTTCTTTTCTCTATGGTGTCTTAATAGATTCTGAAGTAATTAGAATAGGCTGTCATGCTGCATGAAACAAATAACCACTCAAAAGTAGCAGTGACTTATATTCCATGTGTGCACAGGCCTTTGTGGTTCCAGGTGATTCTATAGGGCAGCTGTCCTCAATAAGTAGCTAAGCAGCTGAAGGTGCCTAGAACTTGTGGCTCCATTATCTCATCACTTCATCTCTGATTTCTATTTGATGAGATATTGATACCTGTTGCCTGTTTTTTTTTTTTTTTTTCCTGTGAAATCAGTAATACCGGATATTTTTCAAATTATACAGTAGCAATTCAGGACACTGATTATCTACCCCGTCCTTCTCAGAGCTTGTTTTTCTTACTGCTTACTTATTCATTTAGTGACTTTGCTAGACTATTTTAGTAAATATCGTGCCCTGCATATTATGCAGCTGTTGATGTTGCTGTTCAGAAGATGCAGACTTGTGTATGGGCACGGTCATCCTGGAATGACAGCGATTGTAGCAAGGTCCTTTTTGCATCTTTCTTTCATCTCTTCACTAAGATGTCTGCCTCTATATAATAAGTAGCTGTTAGCCTCCACTTACTGCCAGCTGATTGCCGTCTATTGTTCTGGCAGTGCCTTGGGGCATAAATTGGTCCACATTCTGATCCAATTAAATTTGGGCTGGCTTGCAGGAACAATTTTTGAGGCTAATCTTTTAAGTTCATTTTATTTTATAATCTTTGAATCTTTCTGTTCTTATAGTATGCCTTTAATCTTTGAATCTTTCTGTTCTTATAGCCTGCCTTTAATCTTTGAATCTTTCTGTTCTTATAGTCTTTTTTCCGTGGCAAAATATCTGCCATTACTGTGGAGTTCAGGTGACAGAAAGTAGCTGTCTTTTCTCTGACTGACACTTACTTTACAAACTATGGTGCAGAATTGGAATAGTAACTTCTGGTTTTCTTGGCTCTGGTTTTATTATGGTATGGAACCTCCACTCTATGAGTGAACTTGAGCAAGAGCAATTGGGGCACCAGTATTCAGAGTCTGCTGGGTGGAGCCTCCACCCTAACAGTTAGGACAGAGTGGAGGAAAGGAGTCCCTCAGTTCTTACCCTTTCTTGCCTAGAATTTGATCACTCAAAGAAGAAGAAAGGGAGGATGAGTAATGATGGCAGTCTTCGCATCTTGAGAAAATGCCATAGCTATAGGCCAGAGCTAGGAGGAAAGCGAGTTTCATCTTTTTGGTAACTCTTGCCTAGAGCAGAACTTACATTACACTGAGCTTGGGAAGAGGGAAACATGTTGCTCAAATCCCACAAACTCCATTCTTACCTAGTTTTAATTTTTTCTTGAATAAACATCTCTTTATTTGGTGTATGTTCTTAGAACAATTTCCAAATATATTAAATTTTTGTTGTGATTTTGATGTTTTGTCAGTTATGTTTGTTTTGTTGCAATATGTGTTCTTGGAGCTCCTCAGACTGCCATTCTTTACATAAGTATCTCTATTAATGCTTCATACTCTTTGCTAGACATTCCAGTAACTTGGGAAGGTTTATAAGAATATAAGAATATAAGCTTTAAGAGAATACCCAAGCCTGCAGATATTCTGATTCAATTTACTGAATGACATTAAAGGAAACTAAAATTAATGGTCATGGCCACATTTAGTAATAGAGTAATTCAGTATCCTGTTATGTAGAGGTAGTAGTTATATGTATATATCTATATAGATATAGATATATACAGTAGCTATATATATAGTCCCACAGACTATATAGAGATGTAGTAATATATATATTATATATAATATATCATATATATAAAATAATATATAATATATATTATATATAAATATATATAGTACCAATGATATATTATAATTATATATATACTATTATATATATCCCCAATTATAATAATGTCCCCAATTATATATAATATATATATATCCCCAATTAATAATATCCCCAATTATATATATTATATATATAGAGAGAGAGAAATAGCAGTTATATAGATATACACACATATATGTGTGTGTGTATGTGTGTGTGTGAATGTATATATGTGGGACTATATATGTATATAGTCCCACAGATCCTGAAAATACAGGGAACTTCTTTTCCTTTCCGCTTTCAAAGTTAGATAGATACATGTGACCAGGCATTATAAAAGCTAAGAAGTAACATATCATTTTGGGGACTAAATATGTAAGGACTGATGCTCAATTTCTACCCTCTTTTTTATTATTTTTTCTTGCTCTGGTAAATCTTGAAACCCCATCTTGAGGTGGAGGTGTTACAAAAACAGATCTAGCCTGGAGTTCTGAATCCCTGACAGAGTTCAGTGGCCATAAAGAAGTATCTGAGCCCATAAAAGAGAAATAAAATGTTGTTATATTAGCATTCTTATTTTTGTAGAAACATTTACTTTAACCTGAATGATAGGATCGTTATTATCAATTCTGTTCAAAGTGGTTTATAGGTTGAATGCAATTTGAATAATGATTCCAACAATATTTTTGAAAAACTTGACAATTTGATGCTAACATTTACAGGCATAAGCAAAAGATGTGTTAATTAAGATGAAAAATATGCTAATAACAATAGTTTTGTGGAAATTGACTACATGAATTGAAGTTATCTTATCACAACCAATTACATTTGAGTTCAAAGGCAAGACTGTGGAAAAGAGAAATATGTGGAGCACAAGCATCTGCCCACAGATTATCTGCAAGCCAGCTGCCAAAAGGACCTACTATAACCTCTAGACCAATTTTACCTAGTAGCTGCTGAAACAAAATGCCACAACTCTAAGATTGGTTTCACCTGCTATCATCACTCATCAATCAGCTACCAAAAACTTGGCTAATATCAATGACTTTTCTTATACAACAATAGGCAATATTTCTATTTAAATGAAACCCCTGTTCTCTATATTTTTTGGACATACCAAAGACCATCCAGGTCTGTGTATATGCCTTGAATTGCAAATCTGTTTTCCAAAATAAAACTTTTATTTGAAGATTCATCTTTATAATTTATTTGCTTTCGCCCAGTCACTTGACTACATTAAGGTTAAGAACAACATTCCTCAAAAGATAGCAACTATAAATCCAAACTATAAACAGAAAGTAAGTATTTTCCAACATCTATGACTTACAAAGGATTCATATCACAATATATGAGGTTAAACTTTATAAGAAAAAGGCAAAAAAAAAACCAGATATAAAAATTAGCATTTCATAAAAAGAAAAATACAAATTAGGTATTCAATCTCACTAGAAATTCAGAAAATGAAAATTAAGACCATAATGACATGCAGTTTTTAAATCATTCAATGTGATTCAATAAACAATCTTAAAAAAAATTTGGATAGGTTTTGTTTCAATTCAGTTTGTTATACATTATTGCTGGTAGCATAAATTCATCATTTACTTTGACAAAACCTCTGGCACTGTCTTTTAAAATTGAACATGCTTAGAATCCCATAATTATACACCAAAGAAATATGTATGTGTATGTATTCAATAATATTCACAACAGATGATTACAATAGCAAAACTATGTAGGCATAACCATGTGTTAACAATAGAAGAAAATAATATATTTACACAATAGAATATTAACTAACAATACAGAAAAATGAACTTCTGTCATATGTAAGAACATGGATAAATCTTTAGAATGTAATGTTGACTAAATAAATGAAAGAACCTTGAGATAGTATTTAATATGATTATTTTTTAAGTTTAACAGTGGCAACATTAAACAACATATCATCTTTACCTCAAATATTTGAGAGGATGGATATCCCAATTATCCAAATTTGATCACTACACATTGTATTCTAAATATCACATGCACCCTAATTATATATCTATAATACTTACAGATTAATTTTTTTAAATTTGATTCTCCATTTTCAATGGAAGTAAATATGCATATTAGTGATTTCTTATAACAACTTTGATAAAAATAAATGGAGGCCAAGTCCACTGGCTCACGCCTGTAATCCAGAACTTTGGGAGGCCAAGGCAGGTGAATCATGAGGTCAGGAGTTCAAGACCAGCCTGACCAAGGTGGTGAAAGCCAGTCTGTACTAAAAATACAAAAATTAGCCAGGCATGGTAGCTATTTGGGAGACTGAAGCAGAGATTTGCTTGAACCTAGGAGGCAGAGGTTGCAGTGAGCAGAGATCACTACACTGCACTCCAGCCTGGGTGAGAGAATGAGACTCTGTCTCAAAAAAGAAAAAAAAAAAAGTAAATGGAGACTGTTTTATTGTTTGCAGAATATCATGTAAATTTTCTGAAGTCATTTTCTTCTTAACATAGACAGTGTAATGAATGGAAAATTGGAAAATCTATGTGAATTATAATATGTGTTAAACATCATTCTGTAAATATTATATACTTGAAATCCAATATTTAGGATAAAGAATTTATAGTTTTTGCTTACAAAAAATTTAATTATGCTTACTTGCATGTGTGGCTAGGTATATATTTTAGAGTGATAACGTTACTCCAAAGTAATAACATTATTTTGTAATAATGTTACTACAAAGAGGTTCTAAAGAAAATCAATAGATGATCATTTCATTAATTTCCAGATGAGACTTTAATTAGGTATATTATGAAAATATTATCATTCTCAAAACACAAAACATGCAGTGTTAATTTTTTCCTAAGCATCATTTATAGAATGTGGGCTTGTGAAATATATAAGAAAACGGAGCAGAACTGATAATTTGCAATTAAAGTTTACCTGTAAAATAAATAAACATTTAAAGTTTATATAAACAGTATTAGAAGAGTTTCAGAAACTTTAGCATATCTAAAACTATTCTAGTTATTGAAATTGTGCTATCACCGTTCAGAAAGACTAAGCTCTTGCTATTTTTATGAACAACAGCCATTAATTAGAAGATGTCCTCAATATCTCAGACACATCTGCTGGAGACAGATGTTGCACTTGTGTGTAGGGCTAGTAGCAATTTACATGTTTGTTGTCCTAGATAATAATGTATTTTTATTAGGCAAGCTGTTTTACTTTCATTTAAAATGCACTGCTAAATAAAAATGTACTTACATTTTTTACAAATTGAAGTAACAATTATTTATTACTTTTAACACTGTATAAAGCAGCTTGAACTTATTGTGCCTTATATTTCCTGTGAGAAGTTTAAAAAATTTTTAAAAATATTCTCTGTGCTGACAGTGAAAGTTAGAAACTACACTCACAAAGACACTAGAAAAATTTCACAAAGAACAATGGAAACATAAGTATTAATAAAACATAGGTGGGTGGCTTTGGTAATCACCTTTTGCAACCATCCAGCTGTGATTTTCTTTAACTTTCCACATATAAAGTGAACATTTTTATTAATAACTCTGTAAGCTAATGGCATATTTATTTCTATACTTCTTTGATTTGCATCTTTAAAAATGTATACATCGACACACCGTGAGATTTTACATGAAGAATACTAGAAACTGGCATTGACTGTCACTTTCTGTTTAATTTTCAAGGCTTCTCTCTATAAGCATACAAATATTTTAGAACATTATAATACCATTCATTCTCTTCATTATAGCTTACTTTGCATTTTATTAACTTCATCCTATGGAGAATGAGCTGAATAAAATGCCAAGTGAGCTATAATGTCATCATAGTAACATCTACAAATCCAAGACAATGCTAACAAATATTTAAGATGGGCATTCAATAATTAAAGTTTGGGAAATGTTAAGTTAGGCAAAGATAAACAAGCATCATTCCTGAAGGATTGCACATCATATGGTTGTGTAATTTAAGCTTTAGGATTAAGATTTACCATGTAGTGGTTCATAAAAGTCTTTGTTGTTGCTATTTTGAGACAGGGTCTGGCTCTGTCACCGAGGCTACAGTGCAGTGGAACAATTATGGCTCACTGAAGCCTTGACCTCCCGGGCTCAAGTGATCCCTCCTCCTCAGCCTCCCAAGTAGCTGGGACCACATGCACACACCACCACATCTGTTTACTTTTTGTATTTTTAGTAGAGACAGGGTTTTGCTATGTTGCCCAGGCTGGTCTCAACTTCTGACCTCAAGCAATATGCCCATCTGAGGCTCCCAAAGTGATAGAATTATGGATGTGAGCTACTGCTAATATAATTCTATTAATAACTTTAAGGCTAGTGATTTCAAGAGAAATAGTTTGGAAAAAGCAGTTTCTGAAGATTAGTCAGAGCAGGCAAGTAAAAGAAGGGGAAAGATTTTGGAGGCTCCTGCTCAGGCA